CACCAGAAGGCTATCTCGCTTATTACTTGACCGAATTTTACCACATTTAAGTTTGCAAAAAAAAAAAAAATCCGTGAATATCCACACTCCAGACACCACCAACAAAAATCTGTTCCATCAAAAATTCAACAGACAATTTTTTATTATGACATCTTCTCTTCATTCTGTGAAAATTTCTTAAAGATTGGATGAAAAATGGTGGAGTTATTAATTAAAAGTATAGAGAAAAGTCGCGTTTTGAGAAAACGGCCGATAAAATAAAAATAAAATATTGACTTTAGATCTATGAGGAAATGGTGGTGACAAACATGCCCGGTATGGGAAAAAAAACAACATTTTTTGGGGGGTTCTTATGCGATGAAATAGTTGTAGGAGAGGCCGAGGAAGCTAAAAATGCCTACAACTCAAATTCCATAATTTTTAGCACAATCTTGACTTTGGGGGTGTAGCCCCCCCCCCCCCCCCTCTTAATAAATATTAATTTTAAAAATCCAAGTGGATGGTTTCTACAGATTTTTAAATGTTTACAGCTGGGGCAATACAGCTTTTAATAGCAAGTCCGTCAGGTTTTTCTAATCGGGACATTATGCTTATTGATCGCATGTTTTGAGAGCCATTAGTGCAAAAATGTGTTCACTATAACAATAATTTCTTGCAACAAGTTTTGCAAGTAAAAATTGTCTTTGATGAACTGTGACTTAGGCCTTATGCGTAATCAAAATGTGTGTGAGAAGCGAAGTGCTGTGAACAATACCATTTTACGTGAGACAGAGATTTCGAATATTTTATATAAATTTATGAAGAAAAGTTTGTTAATCTAGCCCCAATTGCCCTAGAAAAATACGATTTAGTTAAGACAAATTGATACAAATTGCTATGTAGAGTATGGATGACATTGATTTTCCCGTTAAAGAGATATTTGAGGATACGTTGCATCACGAATTTTTGACCGCACTATAGTTACAAAGTTCCAGAATAGCTAGATGAGCCGATTTTCATCAGTGTGGGTTTACTAAATTTTGATTTTCGCTTAAAACGGATATAGTTATTTATGTATACAAGAGTAAAATGTATGTATCGTTATGTCGCAATATTCTCCTCCTGCCCTTATCGACCATCTTATAGAAAAGTTAAAGCTTATTACGCCTATTCTCTAAAACATAGTCGTGCATACTTTACCTAACTTCACATCTGCAAGCCAGTCTTCCAATTTTCTTATTCAGTCACTATGGAGACTAGCAGCCTATTTGGAGTACCGTATATCGCCATCAGTACCCTGCCATCACACACACACACACACACACACACACACACACACACACACACACACACAC